TATATATATATATATATATATATATTATATAATTGTTATACCACCTAATCCTTGAGCCGAGCTCACAACGCAATAATTATCATATAGATATCAATTAAAAAGTAACATACACATTACATCCAAGAATATTGAAGTAAAGAGGATGTCATTCTACTGTCATAATACTTACAAGATTTTTGATAAGAATAATTAAATTATAATTATGTATTTTTATAAATTAAAAAATATAATTAGTTGAATTTTTGGTGAAGAAAAAATATATATATTATGATATGATATTTTTTATATTTTATAATAGTAAAAAATGTCAAACTTATAACATAATACGTTTAGACCAAATTTTGTATTATTTGAATATTTGTGAAGTGAATATATAAATGGAAGTTTATTTTACGAGCATTAATTTAGTTATTTCCGCTCATTTTTACACGTTTGTACATTAGTGCATAGACAACTTTGTACACGACAGTTGAAAAGCAACGCGCCCCCGCAAAACGGACAAACCCGACGCCCAAAAAAACAACCCACAAATAAAGCGACGGGAGCAAACCTTGTAAAATCTTGTTCCTAAACTATGTGTTACAATATTGATGTATTCTAAATTTTTAGTATAATTTATGTTTTTATCTTTTATTTTATATTTATTTTGTTTATTTTTTTTTATATTTTTTTATATTTTATTTTTTTTAATAAAATAATCATTTTTAATTTTATAAGATTATTTTAAATGAGTTTTTGATTGATTTAAGACTTAAAGTTTATAATATTAAATTCATCTATATGAAAAATTATGAAATGTAGTTAAAGTTTAAATTTAAAAAGACTATAAATATAGTGAAAATCATGTAAAAGTATATCTTATGAACAACAAAAAAAATATAAAATTAGATGTTTTGAAAATTTTGATTTTCATTATATTTGATTTGAACTTTAATTATATTCTATAATTTTCATATAAGTGAATTTTATAAGACAATTTTTAAGTCTGAAATTAGTCAAAAAAAATTAAATTAACCTAAATTTAAAAAATAAAGTTGAAGTTTAAAATTTAATTAAAATATTGGTTAAAGTTGAATGTGTTGAATATAATAAAAAAATTATTAAAAAAGCATATTTAAGTAAATATAAAAAAAATTAATGACAAGGGACAACGTCACATCATCTTAGGAGAGATTATAATATAAAAAATGATTGAATGTTGGAATGATATTCCGAAATACGTTCTGAATAATTAAAATAATAATTTAAATTATAAAATATTAAATTAAATAATTATTTTATAATAAATTTATTAAAAAATATTAATTTTTAATATTCGAAGAAGAATGATTCGGAGAAACGCTCAGAGGGAGGCTGTATCTTTACTCTTATAATATGCACCACAATTTCTCACATCGTCGATAATAACTAAGACCCTAGTAATTTCCTATAATTGGATGAGACAAGACTCAAAAAGCCTCAAATTTAAACTACATAGAAATATATAGAGATTATACATAATATAATTATTTTAATAAATATAATTATGCATGCTATAAATTAAAAATATAATTAGTTGAATTTTGGACGAGGGAAATATATATATGTGTGTGGGGGTAATAATGTACTATGATATTTATTAATATTTGTTTTCCACAACTTTTATTTATATTTGTTCTGAATCAACTTATAGTATACAAAAAAAAAAAAAGATTGACTTATAGTATTGAAATTAATTAGTTATTATTTTTTTTAAAAGACAATCATGATAATATCATTACTCAGCAATATATTATTTAATATTTTAAATTATTGTCATAGATATAATAATTTATTAATATTTCGATTAATTCAAATATTTATTTTAATTAAATGATGCTAACCACCTTTAATAATATATGGTTTATGATAAAATGATTGGACCTCTGTTATATGAATAGTTCATCTCGACACTAATAGTGTAGGTAAAATTATTGCTTGTTAGTTGTTGCATTTACTCAACCAAACTGAGTAGTGTTTCTCTTCTCTTTTATCCTTTCATTTTACACAATGCATCAATATAATTTCTCATTTGTTCTCACCCTTTATTCCCTTGGACGAGTAACTAAATTAACCAGATTGCAAAAACTTATGTATTGAAACACAACAAGGGCTCGAATCTGAATTTCACCGGCGGTTTGTTCCGCATCGACTAGAGACTAGGCAATTAAATAATCCTTACCTTAAAGTTGATTTTGTAGGGTTGAATTAAACTTAAATTTACTATTCTAAGATGGTATCAGATCTATTCTAGATTCTTAAAAATGGGTCACCCATCATTGATACATGCACCATGAGCATGAGGGGGTCAAGTCCCGTCATTAAAAAAAAAGGGTCACCTACCATTCATTGATACATGCACCATGGGCATGAGAGAGTGTATTCAAGTCTCGCCAATCATTAAAAATTCAAGTTCCACCAATCCTAGATCATTAAAAAAGGACCACCTACCATTTATCCACGTACCAAGCCCAATAGTATTGGACGTGAGTGGAGTGTATTGAGAAAAATCTAAGTCTCACATCGATTAGAAATTAGACAATTAAATAATATATAAGTGGAAAATAACTCTCACCTTACAAGTCGATTTTGTAGGGTTGAGTTAGATTTAAATCCACTATTCTAAGAGGCTTATTTCCATCCTTGATGATAACCATTAAAACAACACTTGAAATACACACCCATACTATAAGGACTTTGATGGGAGCCCAAACCCACAAACAAAAGCTGAAGAAAATGAATAAAAGCGGGCCAAAAGAGTTTCAAAAAGGCCCACATGGCACAATGACTATGTGTTTTAAGAAAAATGATGATTTTTATGCCTCCAGCAATAGCACCGTAGCAATTTTTGTTTTCACAAATAATAGTGTTAGAATGAAATCTTGTAATTGGGCCTACGAACTCAACCCAGTAGGGTTTTCTTTACAACTGGTTGTATTTATTCTAACTTGAAATAAATGAAGAGAGAGGGAAATTATTTCAAAAAATTAGATAGTCATAGTAGTAGGGAGATTTGGTGTATTACAAAGCAAGACCTGTTAGGAAATTCTATTCCTATTCCTAACAGACTTTTATTCCGTGATCATCTAAAAGTCAACCTATGAACCAACCAAATGGACCAAACTGAGCCATCATCAATAGCGAGCTGTCATCGTTTTATGTTTATCCCCTCCTCTAACCCATAGGTTTAGCTTGTTAGAATCAAATACTTAATTCTTAACAATATGTATCACTTCACTTCAACTTATCCAAGGTCCAGCTCATTTGAACGGCTGAATTACAATGTCACAAAGAATTGAATCATTCAATAGGAATAAGGCTGAATATTTTTTTATTGTTTATTCTGCATTTGACATTTTCTTGTATAAAGATCATTCAATACAATAGGAATAAGGCTGGACAATGCACATATTATTCATAAAAAAAATAAAATCCACCCTCCAAATATTACACACGAAATCATGTACGCATTAATAACTGTGATCACAATCCATATCGGTGGATGTTTGGTTTCGGTTTTGAGGTGATCATTCTGTTTTGGTCAGATTCCCTCTCATCCAGTTTTTCAACATCTGAAGTGCTGCTTTTGGTTGATCCATTGGGACCAAGTGTCCGGCCTTGTACACCTGTTGTACGTATTATCACATAAAGTTATAACCAAAAGTGAAATTAACATATATGTGACAGTCAAGAACACAAACCTTGAGGAAAGAGAGAGGTCCATAGCTATTCAAAGACCCTGCTTCTGCACCATCAACCACAAATTTCACTGTTGGAGATGTTCCAAAGGCCTTTTGGCCTGACCACTCCATGGCTTGAACCCACCTTGAATTCCCTACCAAATGACGACCACACCAAGAATTCAATTCAACATATATATATATAACTTCTTCAACACAAAAACAACATTGTTTCAAATGAATTAGTTAGACTTACCAAGCCAATTGCATATGAGATCTTCTTCCCCAGCATAAACAAGCAACTTGATTCCATCCTCAAGAAGAGCAGGAATCCCCACTTCCAAGTTCTGCATCCAATCTAGGTTCAAAGCTTCATAAACTGTACTACTGCATGAAACAAACTCCAAGTCTTTCCCCACACCTAAAGCACTCTTCACGTCATCTCGGTTTAACAAAATCTCCACGTTTTCGAAGTTATAGCACAAAGGCCCCTCACACTTCTTTCTGATGTCATAGTACTGCAGTTTGTTGCAATGAGTAAACAAAACCTCATCCTCTTCTCAAACAGTTAGTAAGAATAGGAAAAAGCTACTGATTTTTCATGATCACTTACATTAATATCGGGAGCAATGTTCAGGATTTGTCCGATTATGTTTTCACAGGTACCAAACGCTTCCCCGCAACTTTCTCCGCCTTGAGTTTCTAATAAATCAAACACAATCAACATCACAAACTGAAACAACATACGTTAGTAAAAAAGAAACAACAACTCGATAAAAGTTGTACCGCAAGTTTTGGCTGCTTTTTCACAATCTGGGATCAACTTTTTGATATCATCATAATTAGCCTTTGTAATTATTCCATTGTCTAATGCAAAATCTGGGTATGCTGGATATTGAATTGCAGGATTTGTTAACCCATTACCAATAGCAAAACCCTGTTATTATATCAAATGAATCAACACAAGAAAAAAAGAAAGACAAAATAATTAATAAATTAACCATTTTTGGGTTATAATATGATAAATTATATTAGAAATAGAGCAAGACCTTGAGGTTTATATGAATTCCTTGATTTTGTTTATTTCCTTGGTTAACACGGGATGCCAATGCTGGAATATAATGTCCAGCGTATGATTCTCCAGTAATATAAAAGTCATTCTTAACAAATTCAGGATGAGCCTTGAAAAATTCCTGCAATTATATATAGCAAAATTAATTTAGCGGAACTTAAGTAATTATGCACAAGAAGATATTAAAAATGATACTATTATTACTTGCAAAAAGTCATATAAATCATTGCTGACGCCTTTTTCATCATGAGGAATGTCGCTATCATCAGATGAGTAACTAAATCCTGTGCCTGTAGGTTGGTCAACAAATAATATATTTGATACCTGCAAAATGTGAAAAACTTGTTGATAAGAGCAAGAAAACAATTTTGGTGTAACAACAAGTTCTTTAATTTAACCAATCGTACGACTAACTATGCTTTATGGTTCAACCGCCAATGGCACACACGCTCCAGTTTCCACAAAGGATATAGTTGAATGGTCACTTTTTGTTAATTGATATTTGACACTTGCAAAGGTTGTGGTTGGTGAGAAGAAAAAATTAATAATATAAATAAGAAAGGAAAGTCAGCTATAAAATAAAATAAAATAAAATAATTTATTTTAAGAAAAAGGAAGAAAATAAGAAATAAAAAATACTAAAATTAATTTAAAATCTATTAAAATGTAATTCAATCTATAAAAGGATGGATTAATTAATTAAATGATTATATAATTGATTAATTATATGTAACACCAATTTTCTTGTTGTTTTTCCTCATTTAAGCGACAAAATTAAAAGTGATGTATTTCACATTTTTTTCTTTTTTATTTTTTCTTTATCAAATACACTCACATTTTATTTTTCACTTATTTTTCATCTCTTTCAACTATTTCTTACTCATTTTTCTAGCACCACACAAAGTATAAATTTTAAAAAAGTGAAATATTAAAATGATATAACAACATGAAGTATCAAGAGGTGAGATAAAGAAAAAGTATAAATAAATAAATAAATGAATGTTTGTAATAGAAAAAAAAATACTTAAAATATATTTACTTTTTCTTCGATAACACTTTGACCCGTTTCTTTTCCTATCTCTTTATTTAGTTATCATCTCATCATTTACCTTATCTATTATTTTCATTTTTCTTTCATTTACCATATGAGTGTCATGTATATTACAATTCATGAAGGAAACATGGAAATTGATATTACCTGATCCCATCCGAAATCGTTCCATGTAAGAGACAATCTATCACCAATATGGAAAGGACCATTCTCATAAAACAAAGCTAATTCACTGCCACATCCTGGTCCTCCAGTTAACCATATGACAACAGGATCATCCTTTTTGTTTCGTGATTCAAAGAAAAAGTAGAACATCCTACAAGTCGTAGTAGATTGCAATTTATATCAGGATCACATATTAGAAAATTTTAAAAAAATTAAAGGTTAATTATTACTCTCTTTTTTTTTTTCCTTCTATTTAACCGATTCAATATTTTATTATTAAAAAGTTCAATTTAGTTATTTAACTTTTAAAATGATGCCACATTATTAATTATTTCAATCTAATTTATACTAATGGTGTTAATGTTTTTTACGCGTGATATAATAAAAAAATAACACATCTAAACTATTCATATGTATTTTTTTTTTTGTTGCAAAGCACTTAATTTCACTCATCACATGACATTTACAATGAACAATCGAATATGACTTTGGGATTCCAAAAGACAAAGTGATATGAAATTATATGAAATTACATATTTTACCTTGCAGCTTTGGAATGAGGAAGTGAATAGTAACCTGCATGGTGACCAAGGTCTTCGATGGAAGGCCCAGAATCACCAAGAAACGAGAACTTCTTCTCTACGATCTTTCCAGGAACAAAATCAGCAACGTCACCCTTAATAATGTTAACTGGTTTCTTTGGAGATAGGTTAAGACTTCTTATGAGCCTTTCAGCTTGTGATAGTGGTGGTTTGGCACTGACACGGTCACTGCTGAGACGAGAAGTTGCGTAGGAACAAGAAACTGAGACCAACAAAAGCAACAAAAGAGACACACAGAGAGTTCGTGATGATGCCATCTTTGCGTTTGTGTAAAAAAAAGGTGCCAATGGCTGGATTTTATAGCACCCTAATGCAAAATGTTTAATGCACATTGAAACTAAGAAATCTCGCATCATTCTGAATTTGGTAATTATGACCGTTACATTCTTAATAAGTTTACATTAAAAAATAATTCTTTTATATTTAAATATGTTTGTAGTCATTCGAAAATGAAAAAAAAAAATTATTAGTGATTTTGGTCTTTATTAAATTTATTATTATTATTTTTTATTTTTAAAATTTTAAAACTATTATTTTTAGTTTATATATTATTATTTTGTTTTTTTGGTTCGTCCAAGGAGTATCCACCATCGATAGCAGTGACTAATCTCCTTGCTACATTGGAGGCACCTCAAAGAGTGAGATAGCTGGCCCCAAGATTTAACGCGGCTGCATACACAAGGTAGAACTCCTGAAGCGTGGATCAACCCCTACCGTTGAACTACACGCTTGAGGTTAGCTTATATATTATTATTATTATTATAAAATCAATTTTAATTATTTATTTATTTATTAAAATGTTAAATGATTATTTTATATAATATACATAATTTTTAATGATATTTGTTAGTTGTGTGATACTTTAAAAAAATAAATTATTCACTCGTAAAATAAATATTATTTATTTTTTTTTTTAAATAATTGTTAGGGATTAAAGTGATTATTTATATTTTAGAGATGAAAAACATAAACACACACATATTTTATAGAGACCAAAAATAAAGTTTACATATTAAAAAAATATAATTTCATATTATTTTCTTTTTACTCGTATGATATACATTTCACACAATTTTCACAATGTTTTAAGTTTTTTTTTTATATATATTCTAACGACAATTAGATTTCATAGTTCTCATATAAATTTAAGGTTACAAATTTCATATCTTTAATCAATTAAAAATTACTTCAAAATTATTGTATTACAAAATTTAAAACGATCATTGTTTTAATAGGGCCAAATATAAAAAATAAAGGAATAAATTAAACATTTTAATAGATAAAGGATAAAAAAAGATAAAAAAAAATATAATTTAACTTAATATTATTTAATCATGTTAATCTCAATTAAAAGTTGTTGAAAATAAACTTTTAATTAAATGAAGTGTATTTTTTATATGATAACATTAAATAAGATAAATTAACTTAAGATTTCGTATAGGTTGTATTTTAGATTCTTAATATTTTTTTTACTCATACTTGACTCGCGGTAGTTGTAATAATAAAAACAATATATATATATATATATATATATATATATATAAATTATTTGCAAATATATAAACGTATACAATTGGGGTTAATATTTATATTTTTGACGTTACGCAAAATACTTCTAATTTGTATCCAAATAAACTCTAAATAGTCCTTAAGATTGTTCACATAAATATTAATTTAACTAAAGAAATACACATTCATCATTTCATCTATTAAATAACCCTTTTAAGGTTTTTCACTTAAATACTAATTTGAGTAGATAAATTAACATTCATTCGAAAGTCAAATATATATATAATTTAAATATTTTTTAGAAAATATTATTTGAAGGACAATTAAAAATTAATTGAAGCAAATAAAGGGATCATTAATTAGTTATTATATTTGTTAAATAATGATATTAAGATGAATAGGTTATGTAGCAAAAATAACACAATCCATCGGTTTTCAATATTATTATAATTAAGTTTACTGTTTACCGGTAACAATTTCAAACAATCAAATATTATGAGTTCTACAAAATTCCTAATTAAAATATAAAGAAATCATAATATATACTCCTTCGTTTGATTTTATTTGATATTTTAGGAAAAATTATTTTATTTAATTGTCATTTTAAAATATCTACGAAACATTAAATATAGTTTTTATTATATTCTTAACTATTAGCTGTGAAGTGAGAAAATATTAAATAAGTGTAGATGAGAAAGAATTAGTTAACATGAAAAATAAAAAGTATATTAAAAATTTGTGTAGCAATTTTTATGAAATCTAAAATATTAATTATTTTTTAAAATATATGTAAAATATTAAATGTCAAATAAAACACAATCGAGAGGGAATATAAGCTATTTAAGTTAAATTTTTTTTCTTTCTCTATATATATACATCTAATTTTTTTATTTCTTATATTTTAATATTTTTTTGTATAAAGCATATTTAATTGATAAGTATATCAAATTTTACGTGATTTCAAATTATTTAGTAGTTTATCCCGTTATTTTATTTTAATATATAATATTATATTTAAAATATGT